TAATGTATAAAACCCAGCTGATGAATAAAAAGGCAGAGGCTTATTTTGAATACCAACACGTGTCTGGTGTCTAATTCTCGCTTCTCCAAGTGCACTTGTAACAACAATTTGGGCTTCCTCTGAATATAACAAAGATCAACATTCTGATCCACAACACCCTCCCCGTCTCTAAATCTCAGAACTACAAGCCAAATTGAAACAACTCAAACTTGCTAAGACCACATACATGCTTAGACGCTTTAAACACAAGTTCTATGTTAATGGGAATAGACCTGGGGCACTTTTAGCATCCCAGCTCAAGTCCCGCATCTAAAATCGCTTACATATACACGCAAACTGATTGCAAACTCATTGAACCTTAAATGATTGTTGAGGAATTTGCAAAATGCTATAGCTCCTATACAATCTCAGACACGACCCCACCACACATACCCCTTCCCCTGAGGACATACAATCCTTTCTGGATACTGTAAACCTCCCTACTTTATCAATGGAAGAAATACAGCTGCTTTCTAAACTATTCGACCACTCGGAAATTACACAAACCATACGACTCTTACAGAAACACAAATCCCCAGGACCAGACAGGTTCACAAACCTCTACTACCAAACGTTCCACAATATACTCGCACCACGTCTCACAACACTCTTCAATAAATGCTATCTCATGGGCACTTTACCTAAAGAAATGTTACAAGCACACATTTCCACTCTTACGAAACCTGGGAAACCACCTACATTATGTCAAAACTTTTGGCCAATCTCCCTGCTTAACTGTGGCACCAAACTTTACACAAAGATTCTTGCCAATAGGTTTTCGAACATTCTAAACAGGATAGTCCACAACGACCAGTCAGGGTTTGTGAAGTCTAGACAAGGATCATATAATACCAGGAAAGTTCTAAACATTCTTGCTCGAATGAAAGAAGACAATCTCGAAGGCCTTCTGACGATGCTAGACGCAGAGAAGGTCTTCAACCACTTAAATTGACGATACATGGAGCTAGTACTCCTTAAATTTGGATTCCCTCCTGACTTTCTCACAGGGGTGATGGCCCTGTATCAAAACCCAACAGCCAGAGTGGCAAATTGAGGTTTTTCCTAGCTGTGTAATTTGACTCATAACTCTCTGATTGGTTGCTTTCTTTTTTTCTTTCCCCACTCGACACGCCCCAACATGCCACTGGCTGCTGACTATTTAGGCGACATGCATGAGGGAGGATTTGGATCAACAGCAAAAACATATGTTAGGAAGGCTGAACTTGATGGACGCAAGTCTCTTTTCAGCTATGTAACTACGTAACTAAGTAACCTCCCTTTTTCTAATATAGGTGTGGGGGTGGAATTAATATTTTTTACAAGAAAGGAGGTTAGCGATGCCAGCTCCCTCCTTGGTTTTTTTTTGCACATGCGCACTGTTATTTCTGCGTGCTGTGGGGGTTAACTCCCCTGCAGCACAGAGTCTATTAAACGAACAAAACGAAACAAAAAGGTGATGCATTCAGCATATGCCCTTTCGTTTCATTTTATATTTCGTTTGTAGGGCTTTCGTTTACGATTTGGTAAATGAATACGAAAAAAACTGAAGGTGAAATCGTATTCGTACGAAAATGAATGCATGTCTAGTGGTTTATAATGTTGGTGCTGTTGTTCTTGCTACGAACTTTATATGGTAATTTAAAGAGGTTATACAAGCAATGTATTTAAGGCAAGGTTTTCAACATTTAAAGGTCTAACATGCTTGTTTGAAATTGGATTGTATCTTAAATGTATGTCCCCCCACCCATCCCATCCCTTTTTATTTCTGTACCCCTGATTACCCCTTTTTTGTCTATGCTATTCAAAATGACAATAAACAATTACAAAAAAAATAAAAAGAAAATAAGAGATAGTCCATGACTGCTGACCCAACCAGTCCCCCAACCAATAAACCCGTTGCCCCCCAAATAATACACGTGACACTTTCTTCTTGTGGATAAGGGCAACGGCCACAGCTTTATTTAACATAATAATTTTTAACTTAGTCCAACTCTGCCAGCTGTTGGGTGTTTCCCAACAGGCAGTTCTCCCAACTTCTATACCATGAGCCTCGACAGCCGGCTCCTCGCCATCAGCTCCGTGCAGGCTGACGTCTCCCCAAAGCTCCTTTTTTCTTCTGCGCTGTCCAGGGAAACCCGCCAAGCTGTGACAACACAAAACAAGAAAACAAGACACAAGCCACAACACCAGAAACAGGGTGGGAGGGTGGGAAAACAGCCAAGATCCCTCAATGAACCTGCTGACTGGTAAGTCCCCTCCCTCTCCCTTTCCTTAAGAACCACAAATGTATCAATCTTAACCCAGCCCCCAATCTTGGGCAGCAGTCATGCTCCTCCTTCCTTATTCTTCCAGGGGGAAACTTGACTGCTGACCCAACCAGTCCCCCAACCAATAAACCCGTTGCCCCCCAAATAATACACGTGACACTTTCTTCTTGTGGATAAGGGCAACGGCCACAGCTTTATTTAACATAATAATTTTTTAACTTAGTCCAACTCTGCCAGCTGTTGGGTGTTTCCCAACAGGCAGTTCTCCCAACTTCTATACCATGAGCCTCGACAGCCGGCTCCTCGCCATCAGCTCCGTGCAGGCTGTCGTCTCCCCAAAGCTCCTTTTTTCTTCTGCGCTGTCCAGGGAAACCCGCCACCGCGATGCCCACCTCGCGCACTACGCTGCGCGGGCATCGCGCCCCCCCGCCGACAGCGCCGCCTCAATTCCTGTTTGTAATCCCATATTGAAAATATCTAACCCAATGGGGGACAAATGAACACCATCCCGTCTCATGACATCATCATTAACCCCTTCCAACTCAAAGTGCCTCACAACTACACCCCCCAGTTGGCGTACAAACCGAGACATGGTCATGTTAACCTTACGCCTATAGCGCTCCAAAGCCTTACCATGACCCCCGGACCGCCACACCGGGCGTGGAACGATCTCGGACCAGACGAGGGTCAGGTCCCGGAACAACGCAAAACAGCGGGCCACGTCATGCCGCATTGCACGAACTAGGTCCACCGACCGTCGCCGTCCGACATCGTTCCCGCCCACGTGAATTACTAAGGTCACCGGCCCTGACACACAGCACCGGAGCTGAACCAGCTCGGTGTACAACCCATCCCAGGACAATCCCCGAATCCCCCTCCAACGTACCCGTGCTACCTCGTACGATAAACCGAGGTTACGGCCATAGGGTCTAGCCTCCGCACGCCTAGCAGCCCAATAAACAAATGAGTGTCCCACGATCCAGACAAATCGAGGAGCAGGACCTATAATAAAAATAACAGACAACCATCACCGTAACGATGCTAGCCTACAGCAAATGGGGGCGCACGTAGAGCTGGTACCGGCCCGACTGCCAGCGCCCCAAACGCTTGACCGCCTCCGTGGGAAGGCCCAGCTGACTAGCCTGCGTGGCAGCTCCGATTCGAAACGAGTGCGTGGTGTACAAACCCGGAGACAACCCAAGACTAACCACCCCTGCCCGGAGAACCCTGGCGAACTGAAACCGGCTGAGCGCTGACCCATCCCGATGCCGCAACAGGGATCCTGCCTCCGATCCTCGCACCGCCAAGAAATCCCGCAGCAACTTAACCGGGCAAAACTGCTCACCAGTAGCCATAATCCGAACCGATGCGCCCACACCTACCTGATCTGTCTTAGATTTACGAATGATCAACTCCATGTCACCCGTCGAGACCGTGACATCAGCAAGTTGCATAGCAGCTGGCCCCCGCGTACTCGGTGCCACCAGCTCGCCTATCCGAAGAGCCGCAAAAAAGCAGACAGCAAACGCGGCCCGAAACAGGAGAACCTCGTAGCCCGAAACACAAATCTGGGGCAGACGCTCCAGGAGTCTGCACAAGATCTCATAGGAGATGGGACGCCGAGCGTCCCGCCTACGACCCTTCTTCCAGCCCTTCATGATCCGCGAAATGCAGAATGACTTGGTCGCATCCTGCCACCCACACCACTGGAACAGAAAAGACAGGGCCGCTAACGCCCTCTCTGCTGCCGCTACCGACTTACCCTTCTCGCAGAGTGACTCCAAAAAGGCCAGAGTCGCTCCCAGCCTACCTTCGTCCGTAGACGCCTCCCTGTCCTTGCAGACACCTGTCCACTGCCGCCAGACCGCAGAATACGACTTCCACGTCGACTCCGCCAGCGACTCTCTCGCCAACCGGCTCAAATGGTGGAAACCAGGTCCCATATATCCTCCGGGCACGAGGTGCCAGCCTGCTCCGCCTCTGGAGCCGCCGCCCGAAACCTGTCCCACTGAAACCGAGAGAGAGAGTCGGCTATAACGTTCCGCTCCCCAGGCACATGGCGCGCAACCAGCCACAAATTATGTGCTAAGCTAAGCAGGACCAAGCGCCGGAGGAGCGTCAAAACCGGAGGCGACGCAGACGTAGATCGGTTGATCACATGGACCACACTCATGTTGTCCGTGTGCACCACTACCTTCCGATTCGACAGCTCCACACCCCAGAGCTCCACAGCCACCACAATGGGAAAGAGCTCCAGAAACGTCAAGTTACTCACCAATTCCGTCTCTCGCCAGTGTCGGGGCCAGGCCTCCGCGCACCACCGCCCCTGAAAGTAGGCACCGAAACCCACAGACCCAGACGCGTCCGTGTATAATTCTAAATCCGTATTGGACACCGCCGGGCGCAGCCAGCAGGATTGCCCGTTGTACATACCCAGAAACGAACTCCAAACTTGCAGATCCTCTCGATGCCGGTGATTGATTCGAATGAAGTGAAATGGCTGCCTGACTCCGACCGTTGCCAAGGACAAACGACGGCAAAAAGCCCTGCCCATCGGCAATACCCGACAGGCAAAGTTCAGATGCCCTAACAGGGCCTGCAACTGCCGAAGCTGCACTTTTTTGGCCCCTTTAGCCGAATCCACCAGCCGCAGCAGGTGAGTCAGCTTGTCGTCCGGCAAGCGGAAAACCATGCTCCACGTGTCCACTTCAATCCCTAAGTAGGACAGGACTCCCACCGGACCCACCGTCTTCTCAGCTGCTATCGGCACACCAAAATCCGCAGCGACGGCCCGAAAGGAATCCAAGAGCCCCACGCAGTCATCCGACTCCCGCGGGCCCACAAACAAAAAATCGTCAAGGTAATGAGTTAGGGACTCTATCCCCGCAACCTGAGCGACCACCCATTCCAAAAACGATGCAAACATTTCAAAGTAAGAACAAGATATAGCGCAGCCCATAGGCAAACACATATCAAAGAAAAAGGAACCTTGAAACCGACAACCCAACAGGTGAAAACAATCCGGGTGGACCGGGAGCAGGCGAAAAGCCGACTCGATGTCCGACTTCGCCAACAGAGCTCCCTTCCCTGCCTCCCGGACCAACTCTAATGCCCGATCAAACGAGGCGTAACGAACATGTGATTCTTCCTTGTCAATGTCATCATTCACCGACCCACCCGAGGGATAGGACAAGTGGTGAATGAGACGGAAGGATCCAGGCTCTTTCTTAGGAACTAACCCCAGCGGGGATACCCGCAAATTGGGAAATGGAGGCGAGTCAAACGGACCCGCCATCCTGCCCAAACAAACTTCCTTCCTCAACTTATCCTCTAAGATAGACTCTTTACCCACCACCGAACGCAGGTTATCTGCCAGGGAAGGGGAATCCGAACGAACAAACGGAATCCAAAACCCTGTCGAAAACCCCTCTAGCAGAACCCCTGCATCCTTACGCTTGGGATACCGGTCGAGCCAAGGGCGCATCCTTAGCACGCTCACCGGAGTCCTCCCCTCTAGGGAGATCCTCCCTATTGGATCTTCCACCATGCTTGCCCTTCTTGAAACAGCGCAGCGCAGGGTGGGCTCCTCCACAATGAGAGCACTCATGCTTGAAACGGCATGATCCAAACCACTTGCAGTGACTCTCATTGTAGAGCCAGCAGACCCCCCTGCGCTGCCCAGCCGGCGCACTGGACGGCACGCCGGCTGCTCCTGGAAAGGGGGACGGACGACTAGGGGTCATCAGCAAGAGCCAAAGGCTCCCGTCCTGGACCCCAAAATCCATACCCGAACACACCGCCATCTTCTGGCGAAATTGTTGGTCATACCGAAACCAACATTGTCCCCCATAAACCTTGTACGCCCCCCATATGAGGTCTAGATACCCAAACAACGCTGGTGCCTTCTCCGGGAAGGCCCGCGTCATCACACTTGCAAAAATGGCGAACCCTTGCAGCCAGTTCCCAAACGTACGCGGCAGATGCTTACCTCTGTCGCCGTCCACCGAATCTCCCCGCCGCGGCCTATCCACCGACTCCCGGTCCGGAGGGACCAGGGACAGTAAATCTACGTATTCACCTTTAACAATCCTCTCTTTCACCTCCAAAGCCACGTGCATCCCAAGTGGGGACAGCTCGCAACCTGGCAAGCACTGCGCCCTACCTGACCGAATACACTGACCTTTATCCTGAGCATGGGCCTGCGCAGGGAGAGAAACTGGGACAGACAAAGGGCCCCCCCCTGGGAGTCTATCTAACACGGCCTTCAGCAACCCCAGAACCTCCCCATTAAACCCACTATCTACCCTATCCCCAGCTAGCGCATGCCAAGCGCCAGCGCAACACTTACCGCTGGCTGGCTGAGGATGCTGGGTCTCACCATCATCAGAACCGGAACTGGACCCCGATCCCAGGGGTGATTCACGGCCGGCCTCCTGGCCCGACCGCAATCTTCCTTCCAGGGTGCTGCTGCTGCCACTCCTGTGGCCTCTCCGGCTTCCGGTGGCCCTCCTGGGCTCTTCTCGCGTGGTTTCCGGCTCACTTCCTGCCGGAACCACGCTGGAACGCAAGGCCTGTGACGTCCGTGCTCTCCTGCGCGGTGACGTCACGTACGCGCCTTGCGTGATGACGATCCTTCCGGCCGCGTCCGCGTCACGCACCGAGCGTGCTGATGCGACTTCCGGGCCGGCCGGAAGAGAAGAGCGCGGAGAGCGCGATCTTCCCGCCCTTTCGGCAACCTGGCTTCCGCCGCCATCTTGGACCTGGACACAACCACCGGCCTCACCGGAACGGATCCTCCTCCTCCCAGGTACCGGACTCCGGAGCGGTCGCACGGCCGAGCCGCCACTTCTTCCCCTCCTCTGACGCCGAACTGGACTGGGAGAAAGACGCGACGGAGGCCTCGATCTCCTGGCCCTCCGTCCGTCTCGGCATGCAGACTGACCGGCCCTTACATCCTGGGGGACATTCTTCACGCCCGACACCAGCTCCTCCAGGGCCCCCTGTCCATGGGTCTCCAGGTAAGACTGCAGAAGTCTCTGCAAAGCAGCTCCAGTGTCAGCCATAATTGCTGCAAGTGGACCGTCAGTAGCAGTAGAATGCGCTGTTTAGGTGATAATCAAAAAATTTTTTTTTTTTTATTTTTTTTTAAATTCTAACTGTTTGTCTTGAATTACAGGGCCAGTCAGGTAAGAAAACAGCCAAGATCCCTCAATGAACCTGCTGACTGGTAAGTCCCCTCCCTCTCCCTTTCCTTAAGAACCACAAATGTATCAATCTTAACCCAGCCCCCAATCTTGGGCAGCAGTCATGCTCCCCCTTCCTTATTCTTCCAGGGGGAAACTTGACTTCTGACTTGTACCAATACCCATTGTATATATGAGTGCATAATGTTTGACTCCATGGCTGCCGATGAGCTACAACTAAAAACAATCCACAATTTATTCAGTGGAATGTAGTTTGACTTACACGCCAGTTGAAAAATTGAAGGTTCAGAACCACTCATCTACTCACTTGGATTAAATCTATGTAGAGTTATTAACCAAAGTGAAAGAAAAAACATTAAGCATATTGTATATATTACAAAATGAAATAGTACCGTGTCTATTTTAACAATATTATTGTAAAAATATATTTCAATATAAATGAACACAGACATAACCAATTCTCTATTAAAATTAATAAAATAAAGTCTAAAATAAATATGTAATGGGATAATAACATTTTAAGAAGTTTTATTTTCATGGGTCGAATGATTATTTCCACGTGCGGGGCTGGGTGAAGTATTACACATTAATAGATTTTCCACTTGTGAACAATGCGGTCATTTCTAACTTTGAATAAAAAAAAAATATATATATATTATTGTGACTTTTCCTGTTACATATCTCATGTTTATTTAGGGCCAATAATATACTTGGCATTGAAAAAAGAATACCATATCATAAAATCTCCAGCCACGGCTTAAAAGGTAATATCGTTAGCATGTTACTCATGTAGAAAGCAGTGTTGGGAAATGGATTCAATATATTGAAAAGCCAAAAGGTAAACCTGAGATTATTATCCATGGAATGAGGTTTTCTGGACTGTAAACTGGTGTTTGACCCTTCCAGTTATATTTCTCTCTGTGTTTAAAACAAATGGCAACTCCTGTATGGTATATCCAATGTATCTGATTTTTCTCTCTTGATGGTCAGTGTAGGTGGAAATAAATTTACTTACTGCATTGCTCATAATCTGGGACCCTACAAATAACTATAGTGCAGGTGCGGTCCAGAAAAATGGTCTAGAGATGTAAAATGTCTGAAAATTTTGAAGCCGTGGAAATAACGTATTTTTTTCCCACTCTTTTTTTCTCAGAAAAAAATTAATTTTTTGGAAATTTTTTTTTCATATGCAGAGTGAAGTAGTTTTTACCAATTGAAAAATAATTTTGTTACACTGGGAACATGATATGCAATTTATATAAAATTATCCATCACAAAAACAGTGTGCATCCAACCCAATATAATGCCTACTGTAGCTAAGGTGCTTGTCCATGCCGCTGTCCTCTCTCACCTCGACTACTGTAATCTGCTTCTCAATGGTCTTACATGTTCCCAACTTGCCTCGTTACAGTCTTTAATGAAGGCAACAAGGCTTATCTTCCTGTCCGCCCGCACCGCCCATGCCTCCCCCCTCTGTCAGTCCTTATAATGGCTTCCTGTAAGATATAGGACTCAATTTAAGATCCTGATACTTGCTTTCAAATCTCTACACAATGCTGCTCCAACATACTTCTCCTCACTAGTACACAAATATATCCCATCTTGGCCCCTACACTCTGCCGAAGACCTGGATCTAACCTTTGTTTGTACTACCTCTGATGCTTGCCTAAAAGAGTTCTCTAGGGCTGCACCATTTCTATGGAAAAATCTCTGTTGGAGTTTCACCCAGTCTCCACTCCTTCAAAAACTCTTTAAATTTGACTTCTTCCGGAAACCATATCAATTAAACTGTCAACACCTTTCCCTCCCCGCACCCTGATTCCTCTCCTGCAACTGTTATCAAAACAAAATACTAAGCCATCAGTGAATTCTATCCTAAAAACTTACTTTTCTACCCTACCCTTACCTTTTGTGACACTATACCCCACTCCCTCAAGCATGTAAACTCATTGAGTAGGGTCCTCAATCCCTCAGCTCCTGCATGTCCAACTTGTCTGGTTATAAATGTGTATCTGTTAGTTCACCCATTGTACAGCACTACAGAATTTGTTGGCGCTTTATAAATAATAACATAAAAAACAAAAGATCTCTAATCTTCCTCCAGGAATTTGACTGAGAGAGCGATCGCCCAATCTGATTTGTGCCTCAGCACCAACTGCGAAATAAAAGATAAGTAACTGGTATTATTTGTGCCAGTAAGATGTGGACACACTGCACTAGGGGGTGTAAGGACCACCTCAATTATAAGCTTCATAGGTAGGTTTAATATTGGAGTGATCATTTAAATGGAAAGGGGGCTTTAGAGGGAAAAGCTACTTGCACTTTCATTGCTATGGTTCTCATCATTTAATTCCATTAAGTATTTCTTAATGTCTTTAGGACACTTCTGGCATGCAAGGATGTGTTTTGTCATCCTTCTAGCATTTGCAAAAGAATATTTCTTGTCACAGTATTTGCAAATTGCAGCTTTGTTCTCAGCAAAAATTGCACTGTGGAAATGTTTCAAAATGTTGGATGTTGGTCTCGCCATTTTACTGAGAAGAAGAAAAGAAAAACAATTTACTGGCCAGACTCAGACTATAGGTAAACATTACACTGTGATGGTGGAGAACATTAACTGGACACTGCACTGCCCAAATAAAAATGGTGTTATTGACTGTGTGGGGTGTCACTTTAATAGCAATCTTTTAGATAAAAGTTATAAAAACAGCCTAATTTTCCTAATTAACCTCTTATTTGTCAATCAAGGCCTTACTGAGAGGACAGAAACAATCAACTATTGTATACCAATAATCAGCTTCTGCATACTATCAAGATGGAGCCTGGCCACAACCAAACTAAACTGAACCAAGGACCAAGGCCAGGAATGTACAGCTCAGAGGGGTCTCTGAGATCATAACAGCCAAAGAACTGCCTCACTTTATCAAGTGGCTGCTTTCTACCCTCTTGTCACTGAAACAGGCAACATTAGTAATGTTAGATTACTGCTTCTGTCTGTCCAAGGCCCTCAGGGTACCTACAGAGGCACCAAGAGATGTCCTTATGAAGCTTGTGCAGGATTGATAGAGTGATTATTATGGGAGTCACCAAGGGTTACCCAACAGTGGGCTGCAAGGCTACCTTCTACCTAGTCATGTCTTGCCACACTATTCTATGGAGGCAGTCATTGTGGTTGATTACCCAGTTGCTCAGGGAAAATAAGCTAATTTAGAAATGGGGCCCGCACTAGCTGCTGGTGGAAAAAGGCAGCAAGTTACATCCTATCACATACGTCTCAGAGGTGTCTCTTAAGAAGATGGGGCTTCCAGAAGTCTCAGTTTCAGCAGTGACACATCCATCATGGTCAGTAGACTGAATCACACCATTTGTACCCAGAGAG